CCAACCCGGCCTCGCCCCGGGCAGAAGCCCCTGGCTCCTCCACGCCCTGTGGGGCTGGAGGAAGCAGTAGTTCGGGCGGCAAGAAATGCTACAAGTTGGAGAATGAGAAGCTGTTTGAAGAGGTGAGCTTTAGGGGAGAAGCTTGTACTCCAGGGAGGGGGATGGCTAATTGGCTCTCCTGCCCTATCTTCCTCACTAACCCCACGTCGCCTTCTCTCTCTCTCAACCCCCCTCCCTTGTCTCTGTCCCCCTCCCTACCTCCCCTGGACCCACCAGTTCCTTGCACTGTGTAAGGCGCAGACGGCAGACCACCCCGAGGTGGTCCCATTCCTCTGTGAACGCCAGCAGCGTGCCCACTCTCTGTTTTTGGCCTCGGTGGAGTTCTGCAACATCCTCTCGCGGGTCCTGTCGCGGGCCCGGAGCCGGCCAGCTAAGCTCTATGTCTACATCAACGAACTCTTGACTGTTCTCAAGGCCCACTCCGTCAAGAAGAAGCTGAACCTGACTCCTGCTGCCACCCCCTCCTCTGAGCCCTCTGGAGATAGCCCCCCCGCGGACCCCTCCACAGACCCCAGACCTGCCGAGACCACCCCCCCTGAGGCCCCACGGCCCCGGGGCTCCCGTCGGCAGATCCAGCGCTTAGAGCAGCTGCTGGCTCTCTATGTGGCCGAGATCCGGAGGCTGCAGGAGAAGGAGCTGGATCTCTCGGAACTGGACGATCCCGACTCATCGTACATGCAGGAGGCACGGCTGAAGCGTAAGCTGATCCGCCTCTTTGGGCGGCTGTGTGAGCTAAAGGACTGCTCTTCCCTGACCGGCCGGGTCATCGAGCAGCGCATCCCCTACCGCGGAACGCGCTACCCAGAGGTCAACAGGCGCATCGAGCGGCTTATCAACAAGCCTGGGCCTGATACCTTCCCTGACTATGGAGATGTGCTGCGGGCTGTGGAGAAGGCCGCTACTCGCTACAGCCTCGGTCTCCCCCGGCAGCAGCTCCAGCTCATGGCTCAGGATGCTTTCCGAGATGTGGGCATGAGGCTGCAGGAGCGACGCCACCTCGATCTCATCTACAACTTTGGTTGCCACCTCACAGATGACTATAGGCCAGGTGGGGACTTGTGGGGTATGTGGCAGCGGGGCATCTCATGAGTCCCGTCCTCTAGGCTTTGGGCTGAATCCCCTGGCTTTTACATCTTCTCCCGTAGGCATTGACCCCGCACTGCTGGATCCCACCCTGGCCCGACGCTTGCGGGAAAACCGGAACTTGGCTATGAGCCGGCTGGACGAGGTCATCTCCAAGTACGCAGTGCTGCAAGACAAGAACGAGGAAGACGAGAGGCAGAAGAGAAGAGCCCAGCACCCCAAAGCCACCTCTTCCCACTCTGCAGATCCCCCCAGAGCCTCCTCAGATTCTGGTGAGGTATGACAGGGACACCTCCTTCAGAAAGGCCATGCTTTCCCCCTGCACTGGCCGCCAAGGCGTCCAGGGTGACTGAGCGGGGCAGTGTGCAGAAGGACAGCCAGGGCTGGGCTCTCTGAAGCAAAGGGATCATTTCTTAGAGAGACGCCTTTGCCCTCCAGGGTCCTAGTGGATTCCCGTCTCAGGAATGTCCTACCACCTCCAAAGTGGAGACGGATGAGGAAGAGAGTGAAGAGGAGGAAGAGGAAGAAGAGGAGGAGTCCACTGATTCTGAAGAAGATCTGGAACAAATTCGGGAATGCCAAGGGTCTGATGAAGAGGAGGAAGAGGAAGCGGGTATGTCAGGGAAGCATTCTTCCCACAGGTCGCCTCCTTCACCCCTGCTGAGCAGGCACCACCTCGTTGAGACCATGATCCACTCTCCTTGAGTCTCGTCTAGGCAGTACTCTTACCCCTTAGTTCTCATGTCTCCCTTCTTTTCTTCCTCCTCAGGCCAGGATGGAGACAAGAGCCCCACGTCGCCCCTGCAGACCTCCCCTGGACAGAACCTGAATGCTGGCCAAGAGCTGAGCAAGTCTTCAGGTGAACGGGCCAACAGAGGACTGAGAGTGCCCCCCTCTTCCCTGCCAGAGGAGCCCCTGTCCACCACAGACGCCGAAAGCAATGGCGAACAGTTGCCTCCGGAGGAAGCGAGTCCCATGTCTCAACTCTTTGAGCTGGAGATTGAGGCCTTGCCCGTGGAGACCACCCCTTCCCCTGAGGAGAGGGACACTGCCGCCTCCAGGAAGCACCCGGAGGACTCGCTGCCCCCTGTGGTGGAGAATGGAGCTGCCACGGTCACATCTGCTTCCTTCAATGGAGGTGTGTCACCTCACACCTGGGCCGATTCCAGCCCCCCCTGCAAGAAATCTCGGAAGGAGGACACAGGGACAGGGCCATTAGGTGTCAGGTAATGCGGAGGCAGAAGAGGGAAGTCACGGCAGGAGTGCAGGGGGGTTGTGAGAGGAGGATTGGGGAACTGGGGAATGAGCAGACGCTCCCCCTCCAGCCCACTCACCCCGCCCCCCGCACATTTCTGTTTCTGACTCAGCTATGTGGAAAAGCCAAGGGCAGTGAGTGCGAAGACCGGGAAGAGGGTGTGTACCCTCCCCAGCCCACCCTCACCCCTGGCGTCCAAGACCCAAGTAGCCGATTCCTCAACGAGGGTGGTCTCTCCCAGCCACAGCCTGGTGACCAGCGCCCTCTGCGGCTTTTCGCCAGCCAAGCCGCGCCCAAAGCCCCAGTCCCAAGCCCCCCGGCCAGGTACTTACAAGGTAAGGGAGCCGAAGGAAGGCGCTTTGCTTCTGACGGGTGCCGCGCAGTTTGGCCATCTCTGAACACTAGCACCTGCCACAGCCACGTCCCCTGCTTTTCCGTGGACATGGTCTATCACCGATGATGCCCTTCTTGACCCTGCTTCTCCCCCCGCCCCCAGGCTGCCTAACCCTCGCCCCTTTGTCTCTCACCCCTCCCCTCCTGCAGATGAGTGTGGCCACACAGTGCGATCCGGAGGAGATCATCGTGCTCTCGGACTCCGATTAACTGGCTCCCCCACGTCTCCCGCCCGCCTCCACAGTGTCTGCAGAACCGTCCCGTGTGGAGGATGGTGGGGAGCAGATGCCTGAAGAGGAAGGACTGAGCTCATCCCCTTTGGGTGATTTCTTTTACAGACATAAAAGCTTATGTTTTACACAGAAACATGAAACAATAAAGGTCTTTTCTTATTGTATCCGTCTTTTCCTTGTCCTTTGGTTGTCACAGATTGCCGCCAGTTCTTCCCGGGCTCCGAGCCCAAGTAGCCCTACAGCTGCCCTGTCCAGACTGGCTTTTGGGCACACCTGTCCGGTTTCTCAGCCTGCCCCGCTGCCTGGTGCTCCAGCCTCCTCCATGCGCTGTACTTTCTCACTCGCCAACGGGCGCAGTCAAAAGGCCAATCAGGCGCCGGCTCAAGTCTGTCCGGCCAATCCAGGCCCGGGGGAGGAGGGCGGGACTTACTGGGAACTGTCAGAAGCAGAGAGGCGGGGGCAATCTGACCCGGGAAACCAGCTAATAGCCACGGCCCAGGGGCGGAGCCTAGGTAACGCAGGTCCCGACCCGCCACTAATGGGAAGAGGCAGGCTTTCAGAATTAAAGGGGAAATAGATGCCTCTGCCGAACCAGGTCCGGAGCCCTCCGCTGAAGAAGGACCTGACACCTTTAAGGTGGAATGTGTCGACGATTCTTTAAAGGAGAATTGGCCGAGTCGGCCGAGTATTGCCCAGCGGCACGGGCGGGGTGCCTGGCTGTGCCT